GTATGTTCTAGAAACCTCATTTGTTTTTGGCATAAAAATGAACAAATGCAGATAATAAGAAACTTATCACGGATCACTCCCAGCAATTAAGGAAAAAGATAAAAACTATCGATAGATATAACAACATGAACGAACTTCAAAGATATTCTGTTGAGCAAAAGAAGCCAGACACAAAGGGATACAGACTATGTGGTTCCATTCACTGGGAGGGGAAAGAAGATCAAACAGGAGTCAGGTGGCAACGAAGTGGACACAGCGATCTCCCATGTTGCAGGGCTCTGGGAAGAAGCCGGGGGGAACCTCCTGGCATGCTGGAAATAGTCTATATTTTGATCTAAGGTTGGTAACATGGTTGTGTATAAATGAAAACCTTAAGATTAGTGTACTTTATGCCCTTTATATATGCCATGCCTTCATAAAAACTTAAAAAAAAAACTTTAGTCAGTTGTTTCGTGGGAATTGGCAAGTGATTCTAAAATGTATATCAAACTGCAAAGGGCAAAAAATATCCAAGATACTCACATAAGAGCAAAATAAAGGGACTTGCTCTACTAGGGCAAGGATAAAGTAATTATAAAACAGTGTGGTGCTGGAATAGTAACAGACAGGCCAATGGAACAGAGTCTATATTCGTGCATGACATGGAGCTTATGAAGGAGGTGGGACTGAACAGCTGAAAGGAAAGGGTGGAGAAAATAGTGCTGGGTCAACTGGACTCACATTAAAATAAAACTTGAACCCCTACTTCACATCATATATAAAAATCAATTCTAGGCATGTCATCATTTGAAATGTGAAAAAATGAAACAGTAAAGCTTTCAGAAGATAGCTTAGAAGAATATCTTCATGACCTGAGAGTGAGATAACATTTTTTAAACAGGACACAAAATATAACGACCATAAGAGAAATAATGGTAAGTAGACTATATTACATTTAAGAACTTCTTTTATTACCCTAGTACGAGAGTAGAAGGGCCAGCCACAGCAAGAGGAAAAGTATTTGCAACATACACAACTGCTGAAGGGCTTATGTTTGGCACGTGTAACAAATTCCTTCAAACAAATTAAAAACAAAATAAAAATACAATCTAATAGAAAAAATAGGCAAGAAACTTGATCAGATCATAACACAAATGGCTAATAAACTTAAGAAAAAGTTCTAAATGTCATTAATTGTCAGAAAAATGAAAATGAAAACCACAATGAGATACCACCGCACACCCTCTAAAATGGCTAAAATTATGAAGCTTGAAAATACCAAGTGTTGACAAGAATGCAGAAGACAAACTCTCATTAGAGCTAACAAGCATGTACATCATTACAACTACTTTGGCAAACAGGTTCCGCATTATTTACTTAAGGTGAAATCATGTCTGTCCTATGATCCACCAGCTAGACTTCTGGGTACATATCTGGCAGAAAATGTGCACCTAAGCAAGAGACACAATGAGTATCTTCAAACAACACTACCATCAATAGCTCCAAACCAGAAACAAAGTTCATCGAAAACAGAATGAATAAACAATATTGTGGCATAGTCAGACTTCACAGCATTACACAACTATGAGCAACAACGTGGATGACTCTCATAGTATAATGTTGAATGAGAGAAGCCAGACACAATGGAATCCACACTGATACGGGGAAGATGTGAAGGGTAAGAGAGAGGCCTCTGCGGGGTTAGCAGGTCTCTGTTTCTTAACTTGTGGGATGCATATCAACATTTGCCCTTTGTGATAACTCGTTGAGCTGTAGCATCTATCTTTGTGCATTTTTCTGTATGTGAATTGTACTTAAATTTTTTAATCTTTTAAAATGCATGAACCACTTCTCAAAAAATTGAAAAAAAGTCAAGAAACATGATGAGATCGCATACTATAGGATTTTAAATAGTACGTATTATTTGGATTTAAGCAGAGGGCATAATACAAAAATTGCTAGTGGCCTTAAATACCCACAAAGAATGGCAGAGTACGCCAAAAGGATTTTAGAAATCTCAGCACTGGATGCTTATCCACTCCCAATATTCTCTCCTTTCCTCAAATTTGGCCTACCCCAACCCTTTCCAAAGAACTTTATCCTGCCAACTCTTTCCCACCACTACCTGTCCCCTAATTTTCTGGTTTATTTTTGCAGCAGTCACCTTACTACATTCTGAACCTGCCTTGCAACACCAAAGTGTCCGGGAATGGGTATCTATTGCCATTCACAATTGAGTTTACAATATGAAAATTGCACCAATGCTGCATTTTCTTAAATTAATAAGTATACACCTCAATATGTGTGTTATTTTGCAGTTCACCCCTCAAAAGTATTTGCTTGATTTTCTTAAGTGACAGAGGCATAAAAGGAAGTCATTAAAAGCGTAGACTTTGGAATTAGATTAACCAGGATTCAGATTCCAGTTCTGTTGTTTATTAACATTTTGTAACTCAGGGTACCATGACTCACTCACAGAGCTGGTGCAAGGATCTAAGAAGGCAGTAAATGTAAAATTCTTAGCATAAAAACTGGCTCAGAGTAAGAAATCAGTAACTTCAGGTGATGATGATGATGGAGGAGGAAGAAGAGAAGACCTTATTATCATCATTCCTGGAAACGATTTAAACTGCAATAGGAAAAGCTTGTATTTTGTTTGTTTGTTTGTAGTATTTACTGCTGGGGTTGAGGGTGGGAGGTATTTGTGTATGACGTTCCTGACCAGAAAGCCCAAAAACCCATACAGCGGGCTCCAAAAATTAAGATCTCAGCATGATAAATCATGGCAAGAAGCATAATCTTTATAGCAGAACAAAATACCCATTTAAGTGTGTTGACTCATTTCAGAAATCTCCTGAAGAATATTCTGTTTATTTTTTGACTAGGAAGATTTAGATTGGGAGGAACTGGGGTGAGTGAGAATTTAAAAGCACAGAAGAAACTCCCTAAGGTGAGTCCTGGGTCAGAGGTAAAAAACAAAAGTCAGAGCTCCACTCTTCAATTTAATGCACGGGAAACATCAACTACACGCCCAGCAGTTGCTCAGAGTCACTCAGCCTACAAAAACCACAGGTGTACTGAGTGCAGAGTGATAGGTTGCTAAACAGGTATGAGACCTGAGAAATTCTGACTAGTGGGAAGGGACAGATGAACGGAGGAGGATACAGATTACTGGCTCACAAACAAGGTATGCCCCACTTACGGGGAAGGACTCCAAGTCCCAGGTACCTACCCTTTCCCACCTCCTAGTAGGAGGAGACAATGAACTGTTATTGCTCAAGTTAAGAACAGATCACATCACAGGAGAAGGGATGGAGGGCCATGCATATGTCTGCTTTAGCCCCTTTAGGGCCACGAACCGTTCGTGTTTGAACAGAAATGCATACAAGTCCTAAAGCTCAGATACCAAAAAGTAACTGGCGCACAGTATCTTTGTGCCAAACATGCATTATATTTACTAATCCACTAGACTTAAAATGATAATGGAGCTAAACTAATGTAATTTTCAGTTAGTAAGAACAGCAGCTCAAGATAATGCCAATGATCTAATACTATCCTAGAATCTTTCCTAATATGTTCAGCCCTTCCTAAACGTTTACCAAATCAGTAAGAATCCAGCCAGGAAAACAGAAGCCATACCAGTTATTTTAACAGAAAGAATCTCCTACGAGGAACTGGGTAAACCGATGTCGGAGAATTTAAAAAGTACAATGAAAAGGGGATTCTGAGAGTGAGACAGAGTAACTACCGGAAGCAGTCCTAGGGCTAAAGAAACAAACGTGGGGGGGGTGTGGGGCAGGGGGGGGTACATCTTGGAAGAAGCCGGGAAACTGCAACTCAGACCTCTGGAAATGGGGCCTGGCCAGCCCGTTGCTGGTATCCTTGAGGCAGGGCAACAAGGCTAATGCTGGGCAACAAGGCTAACGCTGGGCGTCAAGGAAGAAGCAGGAAACCGGCAGCAGCTCCCGCCGTAATACCGACCCTGGGGCGCTATGCTGACTACAGAAATATGAAGCTGGAAGACCCTGAGCTCCCCCTCCAGCTTCCAGTGTTCCTCTAGCGCCCTCTACTGGTGGAATCTAAAGGGCCTGGCCACAAGAAATAGAGTTTGCAGAGTCCTGGGTTCTGCATCCCAAAGCCAAGTCCAGTCAGAGACAGTCTTAGCCTGGATTCATCCTGTTTCCAAGTCTTTCTGGGGAGGGGGAGGTAACTTGTTTAGGGGACTCTGAAAATCTTGACAATCTTCTCACTCACTCCCATAAAAAAAATAGAATAATCTTTTTTCAATTATTGAAGAAGATTCTTTTTTCTAAGATAAAGGTAGTTGAGCGAATTTTAGGGTCGTTTCACATTATCTGTACATTTGTAAACAGGTATTCATGAGAGAAAGAAAGGCAACACACCTGCAATAAATCGTTTATTCTGTTTTAAGGCTGTGCCCAATCTTTATAACTCCTTTCAAAGCCTCGAGCCAAGACTGCCTCTCTGATTTTCCTTATACCGTTTCCACACGTTTCTTAATTGCAAACCTGCCTTCCCACTATGAAGAGCATGAGACGGAGCATCAGGCCTGTTTGGAAGTCTCTACACCACGGCTCACAGGCTTGGAGACTGCGTTCAGGGTGAGCCCTCACTTTCTGAGTCTCCCCTTCCTCATCCGTAAAGTGGGACAATACCTAACTGCAGGTGGCGAGGATTAAATGTAATCAAATGCAATGTGTGGCAGTATGTTGAGAAATGAATAAACCATTTCATTCTTCTTCCAGCACCGAACTCTGACATTTCAAAATTTTTCGGGAGGTGGCAATGAGGCCTGGTTACTAGAATCAATTTTCAGTGATTTGTGATGTTTCTCCTCTCACTCTACCGCAGTGAGGTTTTACCTCTAGTAGTGGCCTCATTGGTTGAAGCGCACACGATCAGAACCGAAACAAGGAGTGGCTAGGGACCAGAAATCGCCGGGACCCTCCCCTCGCCTCGGCGTCCAGCCTGGGACTCCAGCGGGACGAGGGTGGGGCGCGGACCTGGCACCGCCTCCCCCAGCCCTGAGCCCAGGGCAGCTCGGCGCGCAGCCTGAGCTTCGGGACCCGGGCGCAGAGGGAAGCCGCCGCCGCCCTGGGCCTTCGGGGCGTCGGGCGCTGCCGGCCTTCCGTGGAGATGTGACCCGAATCCGCCGCCCATGTGGGGCTCCAGACCCCCAGCGAGGGCGGCGGCCAGAAGGGCCCCGGAGCCCGGCCGTCCGGCCCTCCCACTGCTGCTGCCGCCTCTGCTGCTGCTGGCGGCCGCGCCAACGGGACGTGCAGGTAAGTGGGCCGTCCCGGCCAGACCTGGACAATGCCTACACCGTCCTGCGCCTAGTTTGCAGCGCGGAGAGCCCCAGGTAGAAACTCACTGCTGCGCTTAGTTCTGAGCCAAGTTTGCACCGACTGCGCGCTTCACACTTTTCCGTGCTGGTTGCAGTTGGGGCAGGAGGAAGTTTGACGGTGGTCACCGTGGCCCATAGTAACCCCACACTAGGCTTTGATCCGCGCGTCGCAGGCTCCCGCCACCCTCGCCAGGGCTGCTCGGAGAAGCGCGGGTGGATTGCGCGCTGCGGCCACCTAGACCTGTTGCACTTAAATAGGGAACTCCCCGGAGCTGGAGGTGGTGTCTGAGCTTTACAAAACCAACATCCCTGAAAGAAAGGTTCTGATCCGAAGGAACCGGGTCTAGAAAAAAGCAGCGTTTCCAAAGAAAGGTCTCCTCTCCTGGTCGTTTTCCCTCTTTCAGAGACGACCACGTACAGATATGTGGTGCCCTTTGATTATTTTTGGAAATAAAACTTGTAACTAATCCATGACAAGGTAACTGCACTGTTTTTGGTTTTGCTCTTAAGTTTAAACTCTGTCAGTTGGCATGCAATGAACCAGAATGTTTCATTCACCTGATTTCTTTTTTTCTTTTGCATGTCTGGTATAGAGAAAAAAATGGAGTTTTTTTTTCTTGGAACGCCCCCTTTTTATTGACATAGAATATTATGTGAGTTTTAGGTGTACAACATGATGATTCTGCATTTCTATGCCACCATGAGTCTATCACTATCTATTACCATCCAGAGTTCAAACAATGTTATTGATCATAGTCCCCATGCTGGACATTACATCTCCATGACCTATTTTGCAACTAGAAGTTTGTACCTCCATCCCCTTCACCCATTTTGCCAACCCTTCTTTCTTTGGCAAGCACCAATCTGTTCTGTAAGTCTGGTTTCATTTTGTTTGCTTGTTTATTTGTTTGTTTTGCTTTTTTAAAATTCCACATACAAGTGAAACCACATGATACCTGTCTTTCACTGGCATAATACCTTCAAATTCCATCCACGTTGTCACAAGTGGCAGGTATTCATTCTTTATTACACACACACATCCTGCATCCTTTTTATCCATTTATCCGCAGGTGGACACTTAGGTTGTTTACCTGTCTTGGCTATTGTAAATAATTCTGCTATGTACATAGGAGCATATGAGTCCTTTCTAATTAGTGTTTTGTTTTCTCCAAATAAATACTTAGATTTGGAATTACTAGTAGAATATATGGTAGCTCTGTTTTTAATTTTTTTGAAGAGCTTTTGTACTGTTTTCCACAATGTCTGCACCAGTTTACATCCCCACTAACAGTGCACAAGGATTCCATGTTCTCCACATCCTCACTAACACGTGTTATTTCTTGTCTTTTGATAATAACAGATATGAGGTGATATCTCATTGTGGTTTCAGTTTGCACTTCCATGATGATTAGTGATGTTGAGCATCTTTTCATGTGCCAGGTGGTCATTTGCATGTCTTCTTTGGAAAATTCTCTATTCAGATCATCTTCCCATTTTCAAATTATATTTATTGTTTGTTTTTCTCTTGTTATTGAATTGTATGAGTTCTTTATATATTTTGGATATTAATCATTTATTGAATATCTGATTTGCAAATATTTCCTACCATTCGGTTGCCTTTTCACTTTGCTAGCGGTTTCCTTTGTTGTGCTAAGTGTTTTAGTTTGATGTGGTCCCACTTGCTTACTTTTGCTTTTGTTTCCCTTGCCTTTGGTGTCAGACCCCCAAAAATTATCACCAAGATTGACTGATGTCAAGGAGCTTACCTTGTGCTTTTTTCTAGGAGTTTTGTTTCCAGTCTTACATACAAGTCTTCAATCCATTTTGAGTTCATTTTTTTGTATGGCATAAGACGGTGATCCAGTTTCATTCTTTCCCATATGACTGTCCATTTTCTCAACATCATTGATTGAAAAAAACTCTTTTCCCCAGTGTATATTCTAGTCTCTTCATTCTTTTCCATTGATCTACAAATATGCCTGTATTTATGCCAATAGCATACTGTTTTGGTTACTATAGCTTTGTAATATAGTTTGAAATCAGGCCACATGATACCTCCAGCCTTGTTCTTTTTTTCTCAAGATTCCTTTGGTTATTTGGGATATTTTGTGATTCCATACATATTTTAGGATTGTTCTGATTCTGTAGAAAATACCATTGTGATTTTGATAAGTATTGCATTTAATCGATAGCTTGCTTTGGGTAATATGGACATTTAAACAATATTAATTCTTCCAATCCATAAGCATGGAATATTTTTCCATTTATTTGCATCTCCTTTAATTTCTTTTTTAAAGTGTCGTACAATTTTCAGTGTACAGGTCTTTCATCTCCTCAGTTAAATTTACTTCTAGGTATTTTATTTTTTGTGATCCAATTGTAAGTAGATTGTTTTCTTAATTTCTCTTTCTGCTAATTCTTCGCTAGCATATAAAAATACAACAGATTTGAAATGTTAATTTTGTACCCTGTAATTGTATTCATTTTTTGGTTCTAATAATTTTTTGGTGAAGTCTTTAGGGTTTTCTATTAATAAAATGTTATTCACAAATAAGTTTTACTTCTTCCTTCCCAATTTGGATACCTATTATTTCTTTTTATGTCAAATTGCTCTGGCTAGGATTTTCAACACTATGTTGAATAAAAGTCTCCAGAGTAGGCATCCTTGTCTTGTTCCTGATATTAGAGGAAAAGCTTTCGGTTTTTCACCACTGAGTATGATGTTAGCTGGGGACTTCCCATATATGACCTGTGTCATACTGAGATGTTTTTTTCTGTACCTGCTTTGTTGTGAATTTTAATCATAAATGAGTATTGAATTTCATCAAATACTTCTGCATCTATTGAAATAACAGTATGACTTTTATCCTTCATTTAGTTAACATGGTATATCACATTGATTGCTTTGCAGACTTTGAACCATTCTCTTATCCTTGGAATAAATCCCACATTATCATAGTGTAGGATCCTTTTAATGTATTGTTGAATTCGGCTTGCTAATATTTTGTTGAGGATTTTTGCATATATGTTCATCAGGGATGTTGGCCTGTAACTGTCTTCCTTTGTGATTTGCTTATCTGATTTTGGTATTAGGGTAATGCTGCCCTGATGACATGAGTCTGGACGCATTCCCTCCTCTTCAGTTTTTGGCAGAGTTTGAGAAGGATAGGTATTAAATCTTTTTCAAATGTTTGGTAAAATTCACCAGTGAGGCAGTCTGGCCCCAGACTTTTGTTTGTTGGGATTTTGTTTTTTTTTATTATTATTGATTCAATCTACTAGTAATTGGGCTATTCAGATTTTCTGTTTCTTCATGATTCAGTCTTGAAAGACTGTATGTTTCTAAAAATGTATCCATTTCTTCTATTTTGTCCAATTTGTTGGTATACAGTGGTTCATAGTATTCTTTGGGATCAGTTGTAACCCTTTTTTATTTCTGATTGTATTTATTTATTTGAGACTTTCTCTGTTTTTTAGTGAGTCTAACTAAAGGTTTGTTAATTTTTGTTTCTTTTCACAGAACCAACTCTTTTTTTTTTTAATATTTTCTTTATTTATTTTTCGAGAGAGGGGAAGGGAAGGAGAAAGAGTGGGAGAGAAACATCAATGTGTGATTGCCTCTCATGCGTCCCCTGCCGGGAACTGGCCTGCAACCCAGGCATGTGCCCTGAGTGGGAATCGAACCGCGATACTCTGGTTCGCAGGCCCGCGCTCAATCCACTGAGCTACGCCAGCCAGGGCAGAACCAACTCTTAATATCGTTGATCTTTTTTATTGTCTTTTTAGACTCTATTTCATTTATTCCTGCTCTGATCTTTATTTCTTCCTGCTACTAACTTTAGGCCTTGTTTGTCCTTCTTTTTCTAATTCGTTTAGGTATAAAGTTAAATTGCATCTTTGAGATTTTTCTTGTTCTGTCTTACAACTGCTTTCAAATTTCTATAAATTTCTGTCTTGCAGCTGCTTTTGCTGCATCTCATAGATTTTGGCATGTTTCACACCCATTTCCATTTGTCTTAAGGTATTGTTTTCCTTGATTTATTCATTGACCCATTGGTTTTAGTAGCATGTTGTTTAGTTACCACATACAGTATTTTATTATTTGTTCAGTTTTCTTCTTGTAATTTATTTCTAGTTTTGTACTATTGTAGTTGGAAAAGACTCTTGATAATGATTTCAGTCTTCTTAAATTTACCGTTTATGGCCTAACATGTGATCTATCTGGAGAACGTTATACATGCACTTGAGAAGAAGGTACATTCTGCTGCTTTTGAGTGCACTGTTCTATACACAGTTATTAAATCTGTGTGGTCTAATGTGTTGTTTAAGGCAGCTGTCTTCTCTCTCTCTCTCTCTTTCTTTTCTTCCTTCTTTCCTTCTTTCCTTCTTTCTTCTGCAAAAAATACTGTGCATTTTCTTCAAATGGGTACAACATACAGGAGTTATTGGTGAAAGCCAAGGTCTTTCCTCTTAGATAATTAAGAGGCAGGTAAAGGCAAGGCCAGGCTGTTTTCCTTTCTGATTATTTAGCCTAATTCACAGGTAAACTTTGGCAAACCGAAGAGGTGGAGTTAACCTATTCCCTACATACTTTCTCCCAAATGTTAGAGGTTTCGCAAGCTTTGGCGAGTGCCAGATGTGTAAACCAAGACCACGTTTCCTGACAAGTGGCTAAAATTCTAATTTCTATGTTTGTTGTTATGTTTCTATGTGACTTAGTCACTCCAAACAGTAAGCAGCAGAATGAACCTTCTGCTTTGCACCCTGAGGAGTGTCACTTGTATTCTTTTTTTATTTAAATATTTTATTATTTATGCTATTACAGTTGTGCCAGTGTTTGCCCTTGGACCCCCCACCCAGCCTGCCCCAGCTCCCACAGTCAGTCCCCACACCATTGTCTGTGTCCATGGTTCTCCATACATGTTCTTTGGCTAGTCC